ATTACTCTGAGATATCACCATTTGTGCAGGTGGAAATGAAATGGGAAACTAAAAGCAAAATGAACCGAAGAAAGAACATGGAAATGTGCAAGTGTTTTGATGGTAATCTTTAGGCCCCTGAACTGATCATGTTGAGATTCTTATATTCCGGCACAAGAAACAAAACTCTTCAGGCAGTGGAGTGGATAACTCTCTTAAACAAACTCCAGAACTACTGAATAGATTCTGATTCCATTTGAAATAAAATAACAGTCGAAAGTTGAGTTGTCGTCTTGCTTCTTTCTGGATATCACAAGATGCAATTTGATAAGAAGAACAAGAAGTACTGTGTTGGGGAAGGGGAACACCAATTTGGATTCTGCAATCTCTTTTAACAACCATGAGGAAGTCCTGAACAATGAGCAATCATATTGATATACAAAATGAGACTAACAGCAAGAGAACTTGCTTACTCCTTGCTTCTGTTCATCGTTTCCATTGCTTGAAAGACTAACCCTGTTCACCGACAGTTCTGCTTTATATGAATCAGAATTGAGGATCTTCCTGCTGATATTATTGTATATCTCTTTAATAACAATCTCAAAGGCTGTCTTTACGTTTGTCGAATCCAGTGCTGAGGTTTCGATAAAGAAAAGCCCTTCTGCTTCGGCGAGCGCTTTACCCTCCTCGACAGAGACCTCCCTCAGAGTCTCCAAATCACATTTGTTGCCGACCAGCATCCTTGCAACAGTTGTATCTGAGTGTGCTGCACATATAGCCCCAAGAATTACAACTAGATGCTTAGCACTAAGCAAATAAATACATGCTCTGAGAAAGTTTAGCTACACATATACCTAAACATGATTGAGGAGATTGAAAAGGGCATGGAGATGATGCTTGGTCACAAAGATCATAGATACTTAGATTTACAACTCAGACTGAAATCTCAGGTAGCATCATGAATCATTAAGGTTTTCATTAGATTTTGTCACCTCAAACCATGTCTACCAATACATTTATCATGTTCACTGACAATAACAACTAGGCTTACAACTGCCAATGCATTTATCTTTGCTTGCAGTATACTGTATTTGATGCTTCAAAAGGAAAAGTAAAAGAAAAAAAACTTAGATTTGGAAAATCAGTTAATCCTTTTTCTTTTCTCTGACAACTAGTCTAAGTATTAGTTAAAAGAATCCTAGCAATATATGAAATTAAGCTATTTATTGCTTGGTTGCTACAGTGGTGTAACAAGGGAAAATGTCTTTGCAGATTTACTCTCTACCAATGAAAGGGAAAGTGAAGGGTCCATAAAAGACAAGTATCACAGTTGTCCTATGCATAAAAGATCAATGTACAAATGTGGGCTGGAAGGAGTGACTCATACGCCACTCCAAAGAAACTTGGTGAACGTATGTCATATCTACTTCATTCATCAAGCCAATAATCATGGTTACATTTTGATGAGCAATTAAAAGGAAAAGTTATGGTTTTATAATCGCTTCAGCTAAATAGGAAGGTTTTTTGTCTAACAGAGGAGCTTCAAGAGTGGAAGATGTTGGTCAATCTAAAGACAATATCAAAAGAAAGTGAAGATGACTGAAGGAAAAGTGGGGAGACAGGTATGTGAAGGATAAATGTACTATTAGAGATATAACATCTCTTCATCACATTTTGTTTTGTTAATCATCTGTTTCATAATTGGACAATCCCAAGAATATTCAGAGCCATATATCAGCAAGCAAACCACCAATCTTACTGTAAATTCTTTGCATCTGACTTTGTCATTGCTCTGATTGCCATCAGACCTACAACTGGTCTCAGAGGAAATAATTCAAACACGTTCAGGGTGGGATCCAACATACTCATCAGCCATTCAAAGAGTTCTTCCTCTTTCAACTGTGATTTTACTGTCTAAATTAGAGATCTAAAAAACCACTTTATTGTCATATTTAGTTTTCTTTAGGCGAAAGCTAATGACTTTCTTGTAGACAAGCAAGCATTGGAGAGCATCGTACTGTTGAGCTCGTCGAGCCAGCGGGCGATGCTGTCGAAGGTGGAGCAGCGGGAGATATCGTAGACGAGGAGGGCGCCGAGGGCGCCGCGGTAGTAGGCGGAGGTGACGGCGCGGAAGCGCTCCTGGCCGGCGGTGTCCCAGATCTGGGCCTTCACCTCCTTGCCGTCCACGTCCACGCTCTGCGTCTGGAACTCCACCCCGATGGTGGCCTTGGAGTGCAGGTTGAACTCGTTCCGCGCGTACCTCGACAGCAGGTTCGACTTCCCCACCGCCGAGTCCCCTATGATCACCACCTTGAACAAGTACTCCTCCTCCACCACCACCTCCTCCTCCATCTCTCCTCCCTTGGCTCTGGCTCACACTCTTCTTTCCTATACCACCAACGAATGCGTGAATGGGACAAAGAAAGAAAGATGATGGAGGTCGATGTTGTCTTCTTTTTGTCTAATAAGAGGTGGGAGGGTGGCAGGCAGACAAGGAAGGATAAATTGGTGGGAGGGAGGAAAGCAGTAGAAAGAGAGTAAAAGGTATGGTTAATGCATGGCACGTTACATAGTTGACGACACCGAATTAGTGGACGTGACTGCACATCCTTTTCATTCATTCTTACTTTATTTCTGTCGAGAGAGAGAGACTGCAATGGAAGCCTGTGACCGCTCAACCTTCGCTCTTCTTTCTCCATTGTATATGACGACCTACGTGAGCCTTAGAGAGAGAGAGAGATGAATGTAAATCTGTGACTGCACAACCTACTCTCCTCTTTCTCCCTTGTATTTGATGAGCTGGGACAGATACATATATATATATATATATATATAGAGAGAGAGAGAGAGAGAGAGGAGTTGCGGTTGAGTTGAATGGAATGGAAGAGACTGACGACTGCACAACAATCTTGTCTCTTCTTTGTCCCTTGAATATGATGAGCGTTGAGAGATCTACAGATAGAGAAGGGTGGGGATTGATGGGTGAGTTGAACTGTGACAGTATAACCTTCTCTCTTCTGTTTTTTTCCCATTGATATGCTGAGCTGGGGAGATAGAGAGAATGTGTCTGTGGTGGATGGGTTGAATTGAATGGAGTCTTGGAATCAGACAAGCTATTGTGGGGTTGGATTGAAGAGCTCAGGCATGTGACACAAGAGAGCGAGAGAGAGAGAGAGAGAGAGAGATATGTCATCATCATGCTATGTGCTAACTGAACCGGTAGATGGAATTACATGGTCTCTGGAAATCCCAGCATGGCTTTTAGTCATGTAATATGATTCTTGATCTTGAATGACTATGGGTTTTTTTTAGCGGTGGTGGTGTTCATGTCTTCTTGATGTCATTTAAACTCTATCCATTCTCACTTGTCTAATAAGTATTAATACACAAAAAAAAAATTTTAATATATTGTACCCATTGATGTTCATGATTTGAGTCACGAAAATAATCACTTTTTCGTAAAACATAATTGTGTATGCGATGAAATATATTATTTTTTTAAAAGAATATACGAGTATTGTAGCCAATATACTAAGGCCTACACACAATTGTCCTTTTGATCGACTAATGATATTTTGAATTAAGTAATTGTCATTGAAGTTTATAGTTACTTATGCATACAAACATCAATATAAAAAAAATTATTATATATATTTTATTATAGTCACGAAAATAATCACTATTTTCTCGTAAAACATGATTATATATGCGATGAAATATATTATTTTTTTAAAAGAATATACCTTGAGTATTGTAGCCAATATACTAAGGCCTACACACAATTGCCCTTTTGATCGACAAATGATATTTTGAATTAAGTAATTGTCATCGAAGTTTATAGTTACTTATGCATACAAACATCAATATAAAAAAATTATTATATATTTTATTCCTGAAAATTTATTAGAAAGAAATAATATTAGTTAGTAAGAGAATTACATGCATAAACATGAGTTTCAAAAATTTTGTTCATCTTGCCATGGTTATTAGGAATAATTTTCCTTTTGAATTTTTTTGTAAAAAGAAAAAAATATTAAGTATAGTCCCCAAAAAGTTTTGTTAGAATATTTATCTTTGAATCTGGTGATAGGTAATGGAAAGAAGTTTTAGGTGTCTAATGCAAATGATTAATTACAGATTACCTTTAACATCTCGGGTTATACATTTTTAAAAATTATATTATGATTTATATACTTATTAAAAGTATAATATCCAGTTAAAAATATAATTTTATAAGATTAAAAATTATTAAAATAATAAGTTTAAATGTTTCACTTTCGGGATCTCAAATATAAAGATCGAAATACTGAACATAGTTAATTATAAGAATAATATATAATTAATCATATATTAAAAAGTAAATTATGATCAAAGCTTACTCATATATTGGTGATTAATATTAAGAGACATTTGTATGGAAGCTACAAATAAATATTGATTCTGAAAACTATTTTTGGTCCAATAAAAATCGAATCAAAGCAAACCAAAAAAATATTAAAATAATTATAAAAGAAATTGAAATATATTTCCAATGTAAACCCCAAAATAAATATACCAATTTAAATTACAAAAATCCATATTGTCTGAAGAAAATTGAGATCCCCCAACCAAACATTAGAAATCACACTAAATTCGTGCGGTCGATTGATGTGACTCGGACATTTTCCTCAGCTTCATATGCCGCTCGAACAGGACAAAGCCGGGCGATATCGAGTTTATAGCGTACTGCACACGAATGATGTATCCACCAATGATCTACAGCCACAGTGTAATACAGCAAGACGAAACGTCGAATCTAGCCATCTGGCCTTTTGTGGCTGGCCTTTTAGGTGTTGTGTGTATGAAGCATAACACAAGGAAGCCGCTCGCCAATTTGCCCGGATCGTCCGAGCTACATGTGGTTCGAGTGGGGCGGACATGTGACATTACCATAATACCCCTTACATTTGAGAACAATAGCCATTCCAACGCATTCCTTACGGGATGATGATGTCATTTCAAGGACGAATTCGATCTTTTTATTCCGCGTTCTGCACGGTTTCGTTTCGGAGTCATCGGCACTTCCAGCTCGAAATGGCGCTTCGGATCGCCTTCTCGGCTCCTTCGATTCGATCGCCGTCGTCGTCTTCATCGTGCACGCCGTCGGCCTCCTCGCTGAACCGATCCTTGGGCTGTCGACCCCAGCGTCGGTCTTCGGGCGGGTCCCTCGGGGCCTCCGGCGCCGGCGGGCGGGCCGTGGCGGCGAGGTCCAGCTTGGAGACGGCCGTCGGGCAGGTGACGGAAGTCGACAGGGATACCTTCTGGCCCCTCGTCAAGGCCGCCGGAGATAGGGTTGTCGTCCTCGACATGTACACCCAATGGTAAGCCACGATCCATCCTCCCCTGCGTTCCTAATTTCTATTATAAGATTGAGTCATTTTGGATTTGTATTGCTATAAAGCCCATTGTTTGATGCTGATTATCAGTTGAAGTCGTTTCGTCAACCTGAACTGACCGATCTGATCTATTGGGTTGCTCAGATTCAAGATTCTGGTATGGTATCAAGTAGGATTTGTAATTGGATCGGTATGTAAATTGAGGTGCCTTTTGTCACTCAACCTAAGAGAATAGATGTGCCCCGACTCAGAAAACCTAGTGTTGATTGCTAGTTTCGCTTTAAGTCGTGTGGCATCGAGCGGCTTTCAAAGAGTCAGCCTCCTCATAACCTTGTGTAGTACCTTAACGATATGTACAGGGAGAAAACAGATTATTGACAAGCAAAGGTACGAGTAAACTGCCAAAACATAACTTGGGATTACACAAGAATAACTGAATAACTTGGGATTTCATTAGACAACTGAAATGGACACACTTTTTTCACTCGGGACAGTCGCACGATAAAAGGTTCAAGATTGGATCATAGAAACTTGTGTGTGGGAGCTTCTGAATCTGTTGGGTTGCCCAACTGACTTCATAGTTTCAAATACTTGACTCTACCAAGTTTTAATAATTTCTCAATTGAATCACATTCTCGTGATCTTTAGATGCTTCTACTTTATACTTTGTTCAAATTTATAGTAAGCTATCTGATCAAGAATGTTGAATAGCTGAAAAAAAAAAAAAAACTGTTGAAAGATACACGTCGAATGATAAAAAAAAAACTGTTGGCAAATACTTGACTTTACCGAGTTTTAATAATTTTCTCAATTGAATCACATTCTTGTGATCTTTAGATGCTTCTACTTTACACTTTGTTCAAATTTATAGTAAGTTATCTGATCGAGAATGTTGAATAGCTGAAAAAAAAAAAGTTGAAAGATACACTTAGAATGATAACAAAAAAAACTGTTGGCAAATACTTGACTTTACTTAGTTTTAATAATTTTTAAAATCAATTGAATCACACTCTTGTGATCTTTCGATGCTTCTACTTTATACTTTGTTCAAATTTATAATAAGTTATCTGATTGAAAATGTTGAATAGCTGGAAAAAAAAAACTGTTGAAAGATACACTTAGAATGATAAAAAAAAAAATGTTGGCAAATACTTGACTTTACCGAGTTTTAATAATTTTCTCAATTGAATCACATTCTTGTGATCTTTAGATTCTTCTACTTTATATTTTGTTCAAATTTATAGTAAGTTATCTGATTGAGAATGTTGAATAGCTAAAAAAAAAAAGAAAAACTGTTGAACGATACACTTAGAATGATAAGAATTTTATGAAAGCATGGCCAATTTTCTCAATCTCTTCCCTTCTTCCCCTCATGGCCATTATTCATGAGAACATAGAATTTTCCAAATTCATCTTGGCCTTTATTCATGTCCTTTCATACATCCACTATATTTTCCTTTTGTTCCAATCATTGTACCATAACCTTTTTTTTTCTCTGCTCATAGGTTATCCTCCTCATCTTCAGCATGCTTTTCTCAATCTCTTTGTGATCAGTATTAATTGTCTACCATGTGGCTGCACATCTAACAAAATGTACTTAGCTGCACAAGCAATTCTGGCCCTGTTTAATTCTAGATCAATATATATCTGATGATATAACTATCTAGCTAGAACTCCTTTTTTCTCTTTCTCAAAACATGATTAGTTTGCCTTTTAATTCTATGAACTATTCTCCATCAAGAATGGATTCCTGTTTTTCACTCTTATTTAAATACGTAAAACATGCAGAACCACCAAATGTTCACTGTTGCAAATCTTTGCAATCCAGGTGTGGCCCTTGCAAGGTGATGGCCCCCAAATTTCTCGGATTGTCTGAGGAATACCTTGATGTTACATTTATGAAGCTTAACTGCAATCACGAAAACAAGGCATGTTGATGCTTTTCTTATGAGGATTCTCAACTTCTACCTTGATCCTTGCTCTGATCTTTGCAAATTTCCTTGCAGCACCTTGCCAAGGAGTTGGGAATAAAAGTTGTGCCAACCTTTAAGATTCTCAAGGATGGGAAGGTGGTAAAGGAAGTAAGAGGGGCCAAGTTTGATGATTTAGTACTGGCCATCGAGACAGTGAAATCAAGTTGACATTCTTCTACTTGAACAAACACCTCCAGTTTATCAAATACTATGTCTATGATTCTACAGATGAAAAAGTTAAATTGTATATGTTGAATTTGACTATCTGGGGTGCTTCATTGGCTGTAAAAACATTGTAAGGATATAATGAAATTTAATGTCTTTTAATTAAGATGAACTAGTTATTGATTTCTGAATAGCCTTCGTTAAGTTTGGTCTGTTCAACTAATTGTAATAAGGATTGTGTTTCTTAATGTGCACTTTTACATGACTATTCATGGTCTCATTCTCAATACAAATTACAAATGATGCCTATATGAAAGAGAAAGTTTTAGGGCTAATTATAGATTATCCCCTATAGTTAGATCTCTTTAGTATTTCGATCTCTAGACTTAAAAAATTTATATTAAAATCTTTATAGTTATGAAAATGAAGCATCTAGGTTCATTTATCCTTCATTTATCCTGATGCTATTGATATTATCGACGAAAGCACAAAAATAATGAGAAAAAATATAATTTTAACGTTTCAGTTACGTTTTTTGTGACGACGAATAACAACGCCACTAGAGGCCGTGGGTAACTGTTATAGATGAGGAGAAAGAACAGCGACAAGAAGTTAAGTGAAAGGAGAGGAGGAATAGAACGACGCAAATATCGACGCAGATACGAACGCATATATAGAGCGTTGGCATCTACATCATCCTCTTCTTCCTCTCTCCTTGCCTCATCTCTTGTCGTCGCTCTCTCTTATCGTCCACAACAGTCACTCGTGACTCTCAACGATATTGTCATTCTTAACTATAAAAAACATAATTGGGTTGTTGAAATTACTTTTTTGCTCATTGTTTTCGTACTTCTGTTGGTAAAACCAATGATGTTAGAATAAATTGAGTTAGATGTTTCACTTTCATAACTATAGAGATTCCAATATAAATATTTTAAGTCTAGAGATCGGAATGCTAAAAAGATTTAACTATAGAAAAAAAATCTATAATTAGTCTGAAGTTTTATGATGTTATGATTTAGATACTCACTTAATGTTAATCACATTTAAATATTATTTTTTAATATAATCAAATTTTGTCTTCCATCATTAAATTTTTTTATTGTAAAATCATACATACATTATTATCATCATTAATTAGTAATTTTTATATCTGCTCCTCCAAATTTAAGTTTTGTGTGTATACATTTTATTTTTATAAACTTCAGAACCTACGGGTGTTCTATTATTCTATTATGATTAATTTTGATCAATTTCAATTGACACCCTTATAGAAAATATTATACATAATTTGTACATTGAAGTTTAATGGATGGAGTGACATGTATGAAGAATTTAAATATTCAAAAGTATATATGTTTATCTCAAAAATTGTAGGGGCAAATATTCTACTTCCAAATTTTCAATGGATAGAGAGATAAACCCCCCCCCTTTTTTTTTTGTCACCATGAACACTCTCTTCTTACTCAAAGAAAATTACATTCTTTTTCTTTTTAGTGCAGCCGTCTCATTTATTTCTCCCACTTTAATTCATTTTCCTCGTTACTTATCTTTTCGTCCTCCAACTTTCATGTTTCACTGAAAGAAAGATTTTTCTCATCATTAATAGTTAGATTATTTTTTAATGATATTATAGAAATATTTTTATGAGATAACTACCAAAAGCTCTTTTCCTTGTGTCATAATAATCGAGAATGAAAAATATATCCTCACCAAAAACAACAATCAAGAAAATCAACATATACATATAATTGACATAATACATATATGAAGGAGCAAAATAACTAGTAAACAATAATAAAGAGTTTTTTAGTTATTTAAAATATTAATATTTTGAATTCAACGATCATCATTAGTTGAAAAATCTAATTTATGTTTATATCCTTACGACCTTTTCTTCGAGTTCTATGATGTTCAAAATACTAAATTTTTTTTTAATATTATATATTATATATTTAATTTAAAAATATCTACTAATAATCATGATAGTAGTATTAAAGCATAAGGTGGATATTGCAAATGTTTCAGATTTGGAGTCAACCTTTGTTCGGCTTTGACATGATATTAGCATAAGTGAAGGGATAATTTTAGGATGAACGAAAGTAATCGGACTTTAATTCAAATTTTATTTATATTCCAAATTTTGAAATAGATCATATTCATTTGGTATGAGCAGAAACAATGGGATGAATCAAAAGAGTTCTACACAAACAACTTAACGTGAAGAAATGAAATAAGTGTCAAAAAAATACGAAATGAAAAAATGAAAAGGAAATGGATTTTATTTATACTAAGTGCATTTTGTCTATTGCAATCTTTTAACTCCTCTGACTTTTAAATGTTTTTTTACTTATTTATTTTTATTTTGAATATAGATGAAGACTTAATATTCTTTTTGAATGAGAGAAAGGGCTTTGAGTTTGTTATGAATGTCAAAAAAAAAAAAAAAGGTTAACAAAGGATTCTTAACAAACAAATTTCACATACTTATGTGATAGAGGATTCAAATAGTTTAAAAAACTAAATATACTTTGGTAATTTTGACAATGGAGTTAGATTCATGAGAGTGATTTTCACATGATTATTGATCATCGCTTAGACACGAGGAGTTACTTATTTTATGAATCGTCAAAGCCTTATGGTTAATAAAATTATATCGATCGTACGTCAAATTATGCATGAATCGTACTCTCTTACCTCCGATCAAGTAGTAATTATTTTATGAATAAACATTTGTAAGAGAAATGTATACCTAAGTGTTATTTATGAAAACTTATCCTAATACTAATACTACCACTAATTAACTAGTTTTATAAATTTATTCTTTTACCTCTGAGATAATATATTTGTCCTTCCAAATCTTAGTGTTTAAAATTTACATACATATTCCTCTAAATATTTAAATAATTCATATATGCCATCCTCCTCAATCTTGGCTCAATAAAATTATAGAAAGTACTAAACATCATGATTCTTATTAAACTTAAAAAATAATTATTAAATACCTAAAACACTCTTTATAATTTTTGGATGCTTTTATTGATCTCAAATTGAGTAAAGGAAATTATTTCCAATGTTGTATCCGTACATTCTTGAGTATTGTCGGGATATACTTACATTTAGAGAGATAAATACCGAAATCATTAATTTCGATATATATATATATATATATATATATATATATAATATGTATATTATATTACGCAACGACTACTACTATCACTACTAATAATAATAATAGTAAACAAAAGGGAAGACAGCCACGCAGTGACATCGAAAGCGGACGGTCCCAATCGATTTGAGGCGAGGCGTACAAGAAGCGAAGGTGCGGAGATACTCCCAACTCCCCCACGCCGTCGCCGCCCCGCCCCGCCCCGATGATACCCGTCGACGAAGCCCTCCGCATCGTCCTCAGCGTGGCGGAGCGCCTGCCGCCGGTGGCCGTGCCGCTCCACGAGGCCCTCGGGCTCATCCTCGCCGAGGACGTCCGCGCCGCCGACCCTCTCCCTCCCTATCGCGCCTCCATCAAGGCCTCTGCTTAACAGTCTCTCCTCTCTTTCTTCTTCGCGGTTGTTGTTCCTTTGCAAGTCTTTAGTTTCATGTGCTTCATCTGAGACTGGCTCGCTCGCGCTGCAGGATGGATATGCGGTGGTCGCTTCGGACGGGCCTGGAGTGTATCCAGTGATCACGGAGTCCAGAGCCGGCGATGATGGTGTGGGCGTGGTCGTTACTCCTGGAACTGTCGCTTATGTGACGACCGGAGGTGATTCTCTTCTTTTGATTCTTTTCCCTTCTATTTTTTTCTATTTCTGATTTCCATGTGCCAAAATTTGTGTCAATTTTGATTTCCGGCAAATTAGGTGTCTAAATGGATGTGGTAATAGTCAACAATGTTTTCTATTCCTGGATTTACCATCATAAGTATCAAGTGTTCAGCATCCCACTGGCCCAACGTAAAGTCTATTAGATGTTGGTAACTGTTTCTATTAGGTGTCGCTGTGGTTGGTGCTAAAAAGTTTCAAGTAGAAGTTGACCTTCTATTTTTTAGTTAGTTTTCTTGCTGAAATTTTCATCTTCTTAATTGATAAAACATTAAAATGCTGATATCTGCTATGTAAATCCCTACTGTTACATCATTGTCATAGGTTTATAAAGTATGCTTAACTATGACTAAATTCCAAGAATATGGAACTGATAAATTCTAAGGATGATAAAGCAACGATTGCATTTGCATGATATATTTAAAGTTCATATATTTCTAAAATTAGATGTAGGTTAAACAAAATACTCCAGAAGATGCAATCTTCAAATAAGAACTACATATGACTCGTTTAAGGAACAAGCATTATTTTCGTGGTTTATTTCAATCTGATATAAAACCTCACACTAATTAATAAAAGAGAAGAAAATCCAGATGGAAGGGAGATGTACCAGGTTTGAGTTTTTTAGAGTTGTGAAATTGACAGAGGTATACATAACTATCAATGTTAGAGTGCACAGTTGTTGGATGAGATGTTGGATCCAAGACACAATCTTCAAATAAGAACTACCTATGACTTGTTCAAGGGAAATACATAACATTCATGGATTAATGGGTCTGATATAAAACCTCAGACTAATTTATCAAAATGACTAAAAAATTAAAAAAAGGAATTTCCTGATGGAGAGGAAGATTTACCAACTTTTGAGATCTTTAGAGTTGTGAGATTGACAAGTGTCTGTAGCCCACCAAGATTTGAGTGTGATGAGATGTTGGCAGGAGGGACATCTATGGTTGAAGGTGTAGTGATACAAACAAGAAGAATGACAAAAAATTCTGTTGTGCCAGAAGTGGTCAGAATGATCTAAATTTTATATATTTCCCATTTCATTTGTAGAGCAATTATTTAATAAATATAAAACTAATTTTCCTTAAATTATGAAAAGAAGTTTTTACCCAATTTATCAACCCAAAATATGGAAAGTGGTTGTGTAGTGAAAAAAAAAACGAAATGAATGTGTCTTTCCAAGTGGAAACCTTTTTTCTGGGATTTTTGCACGGAATGACCAAAACTAAGAGTATCTGGAACTATTTGCAATTATTTCAATTATCTACTCTGTCTCATGTTTTGAAACCTCACAAAACAATTTGTTTATGGAAATCCTCAACCAGATTTTTAATTTTATGTTTGTAAGAAACTTATCTAGGTAG